CCCAATAGGAAACCCCAAGGAATATTGGAACAATATAACCCTGCCTTCCTTCATATTTTCATTCAACTCAGTACAAGCATTTCTTAAACACCCACTCTGCAGTGCAATATACACTGAATAAATTATTTCTAAACTGTTTACTGCCTTGAAGGAAGACCAAATGATAGTAGAAAGTGATGACTTGGTAAGCATTTGAGAGAGAAAAGACAGATGATGCATGACTGGCGTGGCAGGAAGGGCATCGTGGATAATGGAGCTGACTTCTGAACATACTTTTCCAGACACAGAAGGAGAGAGAAGAGTATTGACTGAGTAGAAGGAAAAGCCAATGTCAAACCACGGTGGTATAAGGCAGCCTGCCTGTGTGATGCAGCACAGAAGTGCAGGAGAAGGTAATGCTAGGGAAGACCAGGGCTTGGGCTTGGACCTGGAGGTGGCAGGGGAGGAGCAGTCCTGGAGGCAGACTGCTGAGCTGTGAACAGTGAGCGTCCACCTGCCGGGCCAGCAGGATCCACCGAGGCGTCTCAGCAGTCGTCACAGTGGTATTGTCATGCCGAGAACCACCTGTACAATGTGTGCTGAAGTTGCCTGTGAAATTACTTCTAGGTGATTTACCTGGTTTGTTGGCAATATAAATTGTAGACCTGTTTACTAGGACAATAATGTGTCGGCTATCATAATTGTTAGTGTTGCCGAGTCGGTTCCGACTCATAGTGACCCACATTCAACAGAACAAAGCCCAGCCCGGCCCTGCGCCATCCTCGCAATTGTCATGGGAGCCCACTGCGGCCAGCCCAGCTTGTCAGGGGTCTTCCTGTTTCTCACTGCCCCTCGACTGGACCACGCATGATATCCTTCTCCGGGGCTGGGCTCTCATTGTGCCAATTATTTTAAAAATTAAGTTTATACTCCCTGGTTTTCATGAGGAAATACCAGAAGATAGCTCAAAAGATCGTTTTTAAAAAGCTTTAAGTTTTATATAATCCAGTAGTCAGGAGTTAGGCTGCAATTTGAAAAGTCAACAGTTTGAAACCATGAGCCACTCCTCGGGAGAAAGATGAGGCTTTCTCCTCCTCCCATAAAGACTACAGACTCGGAAACTCACAGGGCAGTCTACCCTGTCTTACGAGGTCACGGAAGCCACACCAACTCATCAGCAGTGAGTGAATTATCTTAAAGCAGGGGTTCTCAACGTCCCTGAGGCCATGACCCTTTACTACAGTTCCTCATGTTGTGGTGACCCCCCCA